CTCTTTTTTTTTCAGTTATTTTATTTTATTTTATTTTTTAAGGTATACAGTACAGTTTCATTAATCACTGAGATCTTGTAACTGTACAAGACAGGTCTTGGTTCTCATTTTTTCCCCTTACCCCCCCTGCCCTCCCTCTACCCTCTCCTCCCTTCCCTATTTACAAATACTTTATTTCCATTTTTTCATTTTCTCATATTTTTTCTTTTCCCTTATTACTACCCTTTTTGTTTGGAAAATTAACCCAGTCTCCATGGCTTTTTTTTTTTGTACCGGGGATCTAACTCGGGTCCTTGCACTTGGGAGGCAGGAGGCGGAACCACCGAGCTAAATCCCCAGCCATAAATGGCCTTTTTTTTTTCTTGGTTTATATTTGGTATGATGCTAGGACTAAGGGTTCCCCAGCAGGGTGCGGGTGGCACTAATAAATAGGCTTAGAGCATGCATGGAATGATGCAGCTAGACATGGGCTTATGTGAACTGCCACCCTTTTCTTCCATTTTTTTCTAACTAGTCTTATGAGCTAAGCCTCTGATTTTGGAGAACAAAAGGAAGGAATCTCTCTCTCTCTCTCTCTCTCTCTCTCTCTCTCTCAATTATTATAACCAATACAAAGGTTCTTCCCTGTGCCAGAGAGAAAACTTTGTCCATTTTACTAACTTGTTTCCTCCCTGTCTTCAAACCCACCTGCGGCTATAGCTTCCTGGTTTGACTTCTTCCTTGTTTAAGTGCAAGTAATTTAAAACCTTTGCCTGACAATCTGAGCAGAACAAATAAGCAGGGCTTAAAATTTAATTAAAGATACTGTGAGTACATGAAAACAGAGCCATCCCTGTTCTTAGACTTTTTACTCTTGGAGTAAATGCAAGAGGCAATTTTCTCACTGTTTTCATTCTGGTTAAGCGGAGTCATCAAGGGACTCCAAATGCCACCTGAGCCACCAAGAGGCTCAGAACACAGGTAGAGCCATCAAGGGACTCAAACTACAAGTGAAGCCATCAAGAAGCCCAAGTGGCTAAGAAAACTTTATTTGGGGAAGTTCTGCCCTTACTTCATGGGAGTTAAAGGATTAAGTAAAGGCAACGAGTGCCTTGGAGCCCTTCTCCCCACTGAGTTATGAGTCCAGTATGGAGACAAAACCCCCCAGGAGGCTTTCTTCTGTGCTTCAGTAAATGATGCTGGCATTACTCTAAGGTTTGGAGAGAGACATCCGTCTCGTCTGTGTTAGGGTCTCACAAAGGATGTTTTGTGGAACCCAGGGGTCTCCCCTCTCTGCATGGGATGCCACATTAAGGGGTCCAGACCTACTTGTCTCCTTCTCTCTACAGGCCCCAAGCCAAGCCAATGGGAAACCTTTTAGACTTCACAACCATGAGGATTTCACTGACTTGGCCACTTGGTCATATTTTTGAACAGTGGAAAGGGTTTGATCCTGACAATCCAAAACAGAAACAACTTATCTACTATAGCAATAGGGTTTGGGTTCAGTATGAACTGGGAGGTGGCTATGGGATGGTACTTCATGAAACTACTCTCTAGCATTTCTGCTTAAAACATACAAGGCAGAATGGAATGTGTTTTGTATAGGCTTTTGTAACTACAGAGGAAAGGCACAAATACTAAGAGGAAGGCCTTAGGTTCTGTCCTGGGACTCCCACTTGTCTCTCAGGGGGATGTGGATCTTTCTGATCTGTTTGATGACACTGGGAGGTCTCTTCCAGCTCCTCCTCATAGTCTCCAGGCCAATAAATCAGGCCTCTTTTTCAGTTACGGATGTATTACAGGCAAGGAACTATGCTAATGGACAATGTTCTTTAAAAAGGGAAAGAAACCATCTCGAAAAGGTTATTTTCCCTTCAAAAGAACCAAACTGGAACTGTAATACTTGTGGGGGACTAAGAATGATGTCTGGTATGCTACCTGCTCTTAGCAGAGAGATAAAGAGGTGTGTTTTTTTTTATATAAATATACTTCCATAGATTCATCTGCCACAGAAGGAGAAGCGCTAGTAGGACACTTCACCTGTCAGTTAGCCCTAGATATTCATTGTATACAAAAACTTCAGATGGGGCCACAGACACCTATGGCTCGATTTCTGGACTTGGGTTTTTCTGTGATCAGCAATCAGGCCCCAGAGGAGGTACAGAAGAGAAAGGCTAGGATTACGGCTGTTGCAATTTGTGATGCTTTAAACCCATCCAGGATGTCTAAAGAAAAACCCAAGCGCAACCAGGGAAAGAGTTCCTGCTTCAAGTGCAAGAGGACTGCACAATGGGCACGAGATTACACCAAGCCTCTGTCTGGGCCCTGCTCCGTATGTGAGGCAGCTAACGGCTTATGGCTTTGGAGGTCTGACTGTCCTTGCTCCCAGACACTACTGGGGCCAGGAAAGCCAGACACCTCATTCCCTGCTCTGACAAAGCCCAGAGGAACCTAAAATGCCCCTGTCCATTGACATCACCATTTCCTCCAAGGAACCCTGGATAACCTTAGTCATCATGGATGAGTCAATTCAATTACTTCACTCTGCTTTGACTTAGTTCTCTAGAAAACCTTCTGGTGGACTTAGGCTCATAGTTGAAGCCAAAGGGACCCCTAATCAGAGAATCTTTGCAGCTGTACTAACAGAAGAAGCAGCAAAGTTAACTTTGGGTCAGAGACTAAAAGTCCTGACTCCTCATCAGGTCAGAGCTATTCTGTAAAGAAAAGGTTACCTGTAGTTAATAGGGTAATGGTTCACTGAGTATCAAGTCATGCTGTTAGATACCCTTGAGGTCATTATTAACAACAACAAAAAAAAACTTGTACTACTATTAACTTGGCTTCTTTGATGCCTACAGGCCCAAAAGTTAATCGCTCTTGTGAATAAATGATCTCCTAGATTATGCAAGCAGGCAGGATATCAGTGACCTGTCCCTGCAAAACCTAAGGGGGTGTGGTTCACTGATGGCAGTAGCTTTGTCAATCATATACAAAGCACCAGCAGGAAATTCTGCAACTCATAGAGGTGGTCCATCTTCCCCAGCAGGTTTCAGACATGTATGTAAAGGTAACCAAAGAGACAGATGTGAAGTCTCCTTGGGAAATCAAAAGGCTGATGGGAAATCAAAAAGGACTGCCCTATAGCTCCCTAAGATTCTAGCCTTATTCCCAGTTCCTGAGGTAACATTAACACCAGTCTATACTCCCTGGGAAGATAAATGGGCCTCAGGACAAGGGGGGATTAAAAAAGGACTCTGGTGGTATTTAGAAAACAAACTAGCCCTTCCTCAAGGGACACAGTGCAAGGCTATAAAAATATTTCATGATTCTTTCCATGTAGTTAGAGACATTGGAAATGGCCATTCGCAGCCCTAGGACTAGCAGCAACCATGTGACAGGTCTGCAAAGCTTGCCTGTTCTGTGCCTACAATAACCCAGGCAAGCCTAAACCACCTCCTTCTTTAGGACCTGTGTAGAGGAGAAGGACACACCCTGGGGAGGGCTGGCAATTAGGCTTTACCCACACACCACCATGCGGAGGATTTAAACAGATGTTGGTCCTGATTGATACCTTTACAAGTTGGACTGAAGCCTTTCCTACCCGTTCAGAAAAGGGTACTGAGGTAGTCAAGGTGCTTCTTAAGAAAATCATCCCCAGATGTGGACAACCCCAGTGTTTCCAGTTACAATGGACCTTCTTTTACCTCTCAAATAACTCAGGGAGTGGCCAAGGCTTTAGGAATAAAATATCAACTCCATTCTGCCTGGCAGCCTCAATCTTCTGGAAAGGTAGAGAGAGCCAACTAGACTCTAAAGCAAACTCTGAAAAAACTTTGCCAAAAGACATCTGATTCTGACTCCAATTGCCACCAACAGCACTCATGAGGGTCCATAACATGCCCAAAACTGGGTCAGGTTTGAGCCTATTCGAGATGTTATATGGGAGGCCATTTCTATCCATTACTCTGACATTATAGGAGACCCAGAGACCTCCACACTCTTACAATATCTCATTAACCTGGGCCAAGTACAACAGGTTGTCCAGATGTATGGGAAGAGAGTCCTGCCAGCTCCCGGCCCACCTTCTTACTGCCAGTCCCATCTGAACTGTCTAAAGAACATCCCCCAAAAGGACAAAGGTATTCCTGTGAGCCTGTGGAAGCCCTGAGATTTCTCTTCAAAAAGTGAGACTCCTGTGTTGCTACAGGAAGTGGAGAAATTTGACCTGGTCTTAATAGTGAAGGTTCTTTCTGCTGTCAAAGAGGCAGTTCAATGGTCAGTAACTCTCTTCTCGTGTTTTCTGACAGGGTTCTCTTCCTTCAACCCATCCAGTGAGCCACAGCACACAAGTTAGTTAGCGTGCATATAACTGCCAGCAGGGAAACAGAGACCTCCTCTCCTTTAGTACTTCATAAAGACTAACAGATCTCTAAGGGGGAAATGAGGCAATTAGGGCACGGCAAAGCTGGCCAGGAAAGTAGGTGTGACTTTCAGCAAGTGACTGCGTGGTAACAGATCTGTTCTGTTTAATTCTGAGGCTGTTGAAGAATCAAATGTGCTGAGATATTATCAAACAACAGACTGGAAATCTCTGAGGTACCACCCAAATGTAAGTGAATCTCTGGAGAGGCCCTGGAACACCTGTGGCCCTCATGATGACAATGCCTTCTTAAGAGGTAAAGGTCTTTAGAAATACTGTGCCTTCGAGCTTTAGATCCAGAAAGCTACAATCAAAATGCAAATAAGTATCGCATCCAATGATTAATAAGAATATCATGCACAATACAGGCTGGAGGGATGGCAGCCTTTGGCTTCCGTTAGTATATACAACACAGCTGGAATGGTCTGGTAGCATTGGGTGGGTATCACTGGGAAACAGAGGACACAGAAAGATTGCTTTTTATAATAGGGGGGTAAAAGATCTCTGCAAAGCCATTAGTCACAAACCACAGCTCTTATCTCCCTTAATTACGAGCTAGTGATAGTACAGCATGTGTAACTACCAGAAATATACTTACCATATCGGCTGCGATGAGACAGGAAAGGGAAGGAATCTTTCATTATCCAGGTCAGATTCCACAAAAAATAATCAGGAGGAGAAGGCATGTTTGTTGGTGACTCCAAGGTGTTATGACCTGGACATAAAAAAGAGAGAGGGAATACTGATCCATGTGTGTAGAATAGTTCTTGTAGCTGTAACTCCGTATCAGACATAAAAATAGTTCTTAAGGGGTTTTCATGACATTCAATGGGAAGATGAGGAAAAAAAGCACTAGTAGACTGAGTTGACTTCGAGACTACGATGTACGTTTTCTACCAAGTGCAGCCAGATTTTAAAAGTCTGAATATTGTGTTGAAGGCTATGCCAAGGATGTCTAGAAGATGAACTGGACGCCGAGCCATTTAATGAGTTGGTTTAATAGCTCTATCCAAAGTCTATTCTGCCTGTAAGATTTTGTGCAACTTTGTAGAAAACTTCAATTCATCTCACGTCCATCTCTACTTTATACTCCAACACATAACTTCATCTAGTATTGTTTGCTTGGGTTATTGCCTTATCAAAGAGAGGGTTGAAATTGCACTATGAAGTTATGAGTACTTGACAATTATGTTATTTTCAGGGAGAATAAAGGTAGGTGTTGGGTTTTCCCACATGCAAGAGGCCAGGGAGTCACAAAGGATTAATGTTTCTGATTTGCATGAGGAAAGAAAGGTTAGGAAAAAGAACCAAACAGTGTTATTCCTGTATTTTACACTACCCCCAAAGGAGTTTCATATGGTGAAGAGTCGTTACACTATATCTATAAATCAAATAAGTACATGCTACATGCTCTTGTACTGTGTTCCCAGAAAATCCCCAATCAATCACTATTCGCTAATGTTTTATGGCAGCAAAACTTTTTTCTGCTAAGAAGGAAAGATCTGAGAATGAGTTCTGTTTAGCAGGTGTAACACAACTGAGTGAGGGGAAGGGAGAAGGAAGGCAACTAGAGTTTCTTCCGCATCCTGCATAGTGCAGATACCATACTGGGCTCTTTACAGTAATTCTCTAAGATGGGAACTGATCTCCACTGCAACAGCTGAAACTCACAGGGTCAATGATAGAATCCAAACTCAGACCAAGACTGCCTAGTACAAAAGGCTATGTTCTACTATGGGTGGGCTTGTCACTCCAGCAATAGCCACTTAAGAGTTACTTTGCAAAGAAGAGGAAGAAAATAAAGAAAGAAAAAAAGCAGCACGAGTAGCAGAAGCATTTCCCCAGCCTATCTGGCCTCCACTTTCTTCTGCATCCTCTGTATTACTGGCAATGCAGGGTCCAGCTTTTTTTTAGCATCAACCCCACATCATGCACATTAGGAAAATCTCCACCTGGGTGACCATGGCAGCCTCTCCTTTCCAGATCACGCCACTTTCTCTATAAGTGCCACACTTTTGTAAAGCTGCCCAGAGGACCATGTGCCCCTGAAATTAGAACAGGGTGGGTATTCTTAAAAAGGAAGAATCTCTGTCTTCCATTGATCTGAGTTGGAAATGCCAGCTCCTAGGTACCTAGAAAAGAGTTTTTGACACCCAACCTTCCAGAGATCAGAACTGACTTAGTCAGAGGCAGATGCACCTTCCTGCAACATTTTCACAAAATGGCTCAGAGGAAATGCACTGAAAGGGCTCAAGAGTTATGCTAGAGAGCTGCAGAGAGAAGCCGTCTCATTTCATCCTCACATCAACTCTTTTTATAGGTGGACAATGGGGCTCAAAGAAGTGAACTCAAGGCTGTGTACGTTTTCTTGGGAAGGGCTAAGTGTGTTAGTCTTTAAAAATTGATTAGTATGTATTATGCATATGTGGAACAGGCACTCTGCTAAGTACTTTAAATGTCTGATTTCATTTACTCATAATAAGTACTATGACTGTCCCCGTTTTGCAACTGAGGAACCTGGGGCTTAATGAGGTGAGATACCTGGACTGAGATCACACAGCCAGGAGCAGACAGGAGATCAGAGAGAATGAACAGATCAGGTCAGCTGTTAGAAAAGCCTATGCTCCTTCCACCACACAACATGGGCCTCTACAAACTAGTGCAAGGTGGTCCTGGTTTCTCCACAATGCCTGCGAGGCTCCACCCTGGGCAACGGCTAAAGTTGAAGGTCACCGTAGAGTAGAATAAAGGGCCTAGGAAGACTATGACAACCAGACCTCTGCAGTGATTCCCATGTAAACAAAAACTGGCATCACTATGTCTGAGTCATCAGTTTAGCTCAAATTTTAAGTAATATTGAAGCAACAGGAAGATTAAGCTTGAGCTATATTTCCCTGTTTCTAACGGATGTCATTTTCTTAACCATTCTGTGTGGAAACAGTAGTTACTTCTTCCTGGATGTGAAGAATCAAGTCAGTGGGGCTAGACTTCAGGAAGTACTAATGACTCTACGAGTGGGCACAGAGTGGCAGATGATATTTTATCTGGACGGGAGCCAGGTAACATATTCATAGATTTTTTAAAAAATCTGAAAGCATTTTTAAAAAGATCTCTAAAGGACTGAGTCATAAATGATAAGGAGATAGGGATATCACCGTGAGCCAACCCTACAGACAGCTTAAAACAATTTATGGTCTTCCAAAATGCCAACAAATTGCTGGGCATCCCCAGAGATGAGTATAGGATCAGAAAACAGGAAGTTTTATCCTGCCCTTGTACAAAATTCCAGAATTCTGGGATCAAAGAGGTCTCAATCTAGTCCCCAGAGGAGGGTGGAAAGATTAAAAAGCTGGATAAGGCTGCAGGAACTAATGGAAGGATCAACCAAAGAATGGACCTCCCTACCTGAAAAGTTAAAGACTAGGAAAAACAGCCTACATGGAACTTGGACACATCTGGGACAGAAGTGAGTGCAAGTCAAAGCTCATAGACTATGTATAATATACAGAAAATGACTTCTGCATTGAACAAGCACAAGGTGAAAAGGACACGAGTTAGCCTCACAATCCTTGTCCCAACCCAACTTAACTCACGGTGAGAAGGGAGCTTTCCATCATAAGAGAAGCCTTGCAATCCATTTAGTATATTTCGTGCTCCACTCTGAAAATATGAAGATCCAGAGTGAAATGGACCTCAGCAACACAGATATATGGGGCAAAACTGTAACAAATAGAATGAATCTTGGGCCCTTTGGGCCCCTGAATAAATGAAAGGTAAGCAGGTGCCCAAGTGATGGCCTAAAGAGAAAACAGGGCAGGAACATCCCTGGACTAAAGACATTTTTTACTAGCTACTGGCATGACTTTCGATTGTTGTTCTAGTGATTTTATGAGCCTTTTGTTGGCACTGCAGGGTATGAAAGCACAGTGAAAACATCAGCTCTTTTTTGGTATGAGAATCGAACTTAGGACCTTGTACTTGTGAGGCAGGCAGCAGAGCTACTGAGCTAAATCCCAAGACTCTTATCAGCTCTTGATACTACATTTTCACCATGCCTCACCCCACTATCATCCTCAAACTCAATCTTGCACTTCCCCTCGTTCCTCTATATTCTTAGCAAACTTGTTTATTTTATTGAGAAAAAAGAAGCAAATCTACTCGTTGACCGTACCCTGCAATGTGACCTTCTCTCCCGTTGCAAAGGAGAAGTTGCTTATATTCTTAAGCAATGCTGGCCCCCCCTTAGGTGCTAATGCCATTCTTTATCAAATAATCTGCTGTTGCAACTGACCTCCCCTTCTCAACTGCATAAAACATGTGCCATCTTCAAAGCGAAAAGATATTTCAACCTCCCTACTCTCTCCAGACATTACCCCCGTGACTGCTCTCCTTTACAGCCAGGGCTCTTAAAGGCTGTTTCAGCTCCTGTTTCTACCCCCCACCGCCCATTTTCTCTTAAATCCAATAAAATCCCATTTGTTGATTCGTGATGTTATTTCTTCTGCAATTAGGGTTCTGTTCAAAAAAACCTTGCCTACACCTGTCTTCCAGAGTTTTACCTTCTGGCAGATTAAGTGTTACATATTAGATCCATTCTGATTTTAGTGTAGCATATGTTGAGATATAGGAGTCTAGGCTCAGTTTTCTGCACATAGCTAGCCAGTTTTCCCAGCAGTATTTCTAAAGAGGCTGTCTTCCCTCCAATACATATGTTTGGCCCCTTTGTCAAAAATCAGCTAGCTGAATTGCCTGGAGTTGTTCATGCCACCTCTATTCCAGTGATGGTGAACCTTTTAGCGACAAGTGCCCAAACTGCCACCCTAAACCACTTATTTATCACAAAGTGCCAACAACTGCAATTATACCTGAATGCTGAGATTGTAGTTTAGAGAAAAAACTGTTATCTGATGCTCAAATAGTGACACAACTTGCTCATGTGCCAACAAAGAGGGCTTTGGGGCACATGTGCCATACATACATTACCACTGTTATTCTGTTCCATTGATCCACATATCTGTTTTGGTACCAGTACCATGCTGTTTTCATTATTATAGCTTTGTAATATAACCTTAAATCTAGGAAAAGGACTAATATGTAGAATATTTTAAAAAGTAGACCCCCTTGAAATAAAAGACCCAATCAAAATATGGGCAACCGAAATGAACAGACGCTTCTCAGCAGATACAAAGAGGCCATAAATATTTGAAAAAATGCTCAACATTATAGCCATTAGAGAAAAACAAATTAAAACAAAACTGAGATTCCATCTTACTCTAGTAAGAATGGCTATCATCAAGAAATTAAATTATAAAAAAATTATAGAGAGGCTGAGGGGGAAAAAGAAACCCTTCTACATTGTTGTAGACATAAACTAATACAACCTCTATAGAAATCAGTGTGGAGATTTCTCAAATAACTAAAAATAGAAATTCCATTGACGCAGCTATTACTGTTTTGGGTACCTTCCTGAAAGAGATAAGGACATCATATTACAGTGATACATGCACACCCTTGTTTAACGCAGCACAGTTCATAATGGTTAAACCTTGGAAGTGACCTTTAAGTCTATCAACAGGTAAATGGATAAAGAAAATGTGGTATGTGTACATAATGGAATACTTCTCTGCCATAAAGGAGGATAAACTCGACTTATCTGTAGGAAAATGAATGTACCCTGAGGCCATAATGTTAAGTAAAACAAATCAGACACCCAAC